TGTAAACAGCGTTAGAGATTAGGTAATGGTAACCGAGTTTAACGTACTTGAGTTTTACCGATGAGAGGAAGTTTGGGAGTTTATTGTTTGTTACATGAATGGTGGTGCTTGATGAATTACTTTGAATGTGATTCTCATTCATGGTAGGTATTTTGGTTTTGAAAATGTAAAATAAAAAGAAAAAGGAGAGGAGAGTTAGTGTTTAATGTAGAGAAAGAGATAACTTATGGCCTAAAAACTTGGAGGATTATTGAGAATTTATAGGCAAACATTTTAGAAAGAGAAGGAGATATAATATCCTTTAATAATTGTAGTTACGGTTATTGTTGTGGTGGTGACCGAACTCTATGCATTGATTTGTTTTGGACCGAAACAGATCATCAGCATGTGTTTTTTTCTTTAAATGCGATTAAGTTAACCGGTTAATCAGACTACATCACTAAACCGGATCAGATTTGCATTACGAATAGTTACTTTTGGTCTTATTGATATATATGGTGGATGTTTTTACGTAATTGTTCTTGTGGAAAATATATGCCGGTTAAATACATTAGTTTTTAGTTGACAAGGATATAATATACCTTGCATTCTCCCAACTGTTTATGAATTATGGGAAGTAAATTCCATACGTATTCGATGGATACAACTAACTCCAACGAATGTTTAATAGGTCCGTTCAACAGTGGCAACTTAATGGAATTGAATTAGCCAAATAGGAAAATAACCCAGGGATTAATTTACCGATATACCCTTTAGTTGACTTATCATATTCTACTTTCACACTGAGCCATCTTTTGATTACGTGGCGTATGATGATACGTGGATTTTGCAGACCAATGTATTTACTTTTAGTTTACTTTACTTTATATACAGAGTATATATATGTAATAGTTTTTTCTTACGATAGATAGTATTTAATAAGTATATTATAATGTTTTAAAGAGAGTTTGTTGAACAACTACATATATAGGAGTAAATGTGTGGGTTATTTCTACGTATAACTATTGTGTTGGTGTGTTTTCATACGTGACTAACGTAAAGAAATTTATGATATGCCTTTAGTTTTTTGTAAAGTGAAATTTAAGTATGAATCTGGGTTGGTTAAGTTTAAAGAATTTAAATAGTAGACTTGTATCAAGTCCGAATTTCTTTACATCAAAATATTTAAAGAAATCAATTTTTATACACACACAAAGATAAAAAAAAAAACATTTATAGGTGATGAAACAGATCGAGGCGTTAAAGATAAAATAAATGGTGATGAAACAAAACCATACAAAGCACCTTTCAATTAAATAGAAAAGCGATTCAATTTTTCATGCCACAAATCATTATCATGATCATCATTGATCAACACCGTCAACATTATTGTGTTTGTAACTTTTTTTTGTTTTGAAAGACCTTTGAAGTTTCGGATTTTTGATCCATAATTTCTCTAAGTGTTCAGGACCAACCATTGATAATACCGCATTTAAAACGTAAATCATCATTTCTAAGTGTAGTTGAATTAGTGATCTTGAACTTGATAATTTATTCTTAATACCAATAGGACACCAACCACTTGCTAGTTTGTAATTCGATTATGATCTTTCA